AACATCGCGGCAAAAACATCGCGGGCGAAAACGTCGCGGAGAAAACAACGCAAGGCGAAAACGTCGTGCTACAAAACATCGTGGGAGAAAACATCGCAAAGAGAAAACATCGCAGTTCTAAAACATCGTGGTACAAAACATCGTCGTCGAAAATAATGCGGTTCAAAAACTTCGCAGTTTAAAAACATCGTCGTCGAAAATATCGTCGTAAAAAATAAAGTATCTACAAATCATCGCATGACGATAACATCGTAGACATGCTTTTTTCAGGCCTTTAATAATTGTAAATGGGTATTCCCATAGTGATTTGTGAGCGCAAGATGTAAAGAAGGATAATTTTTACTTTCATATTTTTTATTAACTAATAAATTTTTGCTGAAAAAGTAAGAAGGAAACTTAAGCATAGAAAATTAAATGCAACTTAATAGATTATACATTTTATGAAAGATTACCAGTAAAAAATTTATAAAAAATGATTTATTAATGGTCTTTGTTAGTTAACTATGTCGGTTTAAAATTCTATTAAGTGCTATAAGTTGCATTAATTTTCTATGGTTAAGTTTCTTTCTTATTTTCTCTGCAAAAATTTTAATAGTTAATTAAAAATATGAAAGTAAAAATTATCCTCCCTTACACCTTGCGATGATTTGTAGATACTTTATTTTTTACGACGATATTTTCGACGACGATGTTTTTAAACTGCGAAGTTTTTGAACCGCTTTATTTTCGACGACGATGTTTTAGAACTGCGATGTTTTCTCCTACGATGTTTTGTAGCACGACGTTTTCGCCTTGCGTTGTTTTCTCCGCGACGTTTTCGTCCGCGATGTTTTTGCCGCGATGTTATCGGCGGACACCATATACATATAATGACTTCAAAAATTGTTCTTTGAAAATGAGTTGCATAGAAGTATTTTCAACGCATTTTAAGAACCTTGCCCTAGAGCATCTGAATACATTATAAGGTATAGAAGGAGTAACTGCAGAAGATGCATTAACATTTTAATTCATAAATATAAATCTTGCAACTAATCTGCATAAAAAGGGCAAACTAAATAATCATCTTAAAAGGCAGGGCCAATTGGTATGAGAATAAAAGTGATGATAGACATTTTACATCATTATGCCTAGAAGTTAGAAGAAAAAGAAGTTTATAGAAAAAGTTAAATTTCATTAAACGACTTTTTGTACGGATTTCACTACATGCTAATGAAACAGATGTGTAAAATAGGTGTATAAATTTCTAGGCTGCAATATTTCACGTCTTTTTCACATCAAGACATCACTTAAATTAATCTGGCATGAGAAAATTTTAATATCATTAAATTGTAATCTAAATATATTGTTATACCTTCATCAGTGGCTTTCCAACGAGAGAAGTCCGTAATTACAGTTGACGCATTAAAAAGATCAAGATGTAGAGTTCCTCACTTTGTAATTCGAAGTTAATGTTGGAAGTGAAGAATCTTAAGAACTGATAAGCGAATAATCGCTTGGGTTCTTGTGACAGGAAACAACAAGTTAGAAGGGTAACTAACACTTTATTATTCCAATAAGATTTAACAAAACTCCGCCTGGAAGTGTACAAACAAAGCCCCTCACTTAGGCTTGAACTTAAGAGACTAAGAATTAAACTAAAACTAAGATTAACTAAAGAGATATAGCCGAAGCTATCAAGATTCAAATCGAGTTGGCCCCTTAAATTATTTGACTACGAAGTTTATCAAGAGCTTGAATACGGCCGAGCGTAATAACAGCTTTGAGAGAGAGAGTGGCCAAAAAGGCAGACGCGCGTAAATCAGAAACTCTGATTCTCTCTACCTCTGTAAGTAACTTCGTGGTTTAAATACCGCTCCTCCTCATTAAATATTCAGCAAGATTCCATAACTACGTTCTGGCGGAAGTAGTAAGTTGAAGTTAAGAATTTGACAGGAAAGGAACTTAAAATTTAATTGTTAATAAAATTAACATAATCCTTACAAAGGCAAATAACAAGGTATGGTACTTTAAGGAAAAGAAAATTTATAAAGTAAAAGAGTTTAAGGAGAAATCAAGACATAATTAAATTTTGCATGATACATAAATACGTATACGTCATGGGGAAAAATGCTTCAAAATTAAACAATTTTTTCACTATGGATAATAAAGTTTCATTACATAAGTCATTTGCTTAGGATTTCTTGACAAAGAGGTGAAATATTTACATCTCATTAATTCGAAATAAATATCCTTAAACTGTGTAAAAGAAGAAATGAGGAATTTAGCTGTAGAATATTACAAAATTATTACATCTGTAGAATATCACATCTCTGTTTTGAGCGAGATTTCATTTTTGACTCAGTTTAATGGACAGGGTAGTTAGTTTGGAGATATTCACTCACTTAAATTTGAGACAGAAGATTAAGAAAAGCAAGCTTTGACTAGCGTTGATTTTTAAATAAAAATTTTTGTTATTCTTATTGCGTAAAACGCGTTAATACTACTGAACTGAGGATAAAAGCCTTCTTGGGAATTTATGTAAGAAAACAGAGGATATTTTGTGTTATACGTAGACAAAAATACTATCATCCTCTCCAACACCCCTCTTCAACAAGTCGGGGTAAATTACGGTTTTTGCTACTTTCAGCATTCGTGAATTTGATGGATCCAGAGCAGTAAATGACGAAAGTTCAACCTGCTTGAAAGGTAAAGAGTTTCTGATTTAAAATTAACCACAATCTAAGAGTGGTGGTGTGTATTTAATTATGGCAAAGCACACTAGGGCTATCTGCCTAAGGGGAGGGATGCCTTTCGTGGAGGACTTTCTAAGGGAAACTGGCTCGTATACACGTTACACATGGGGAAAACCACGAAAACGCCCATGCAGCCAGCCCGTTCGCGGGATTCGAACCTCGGACCGAACTACCAGTGTTCAGCGACTTTACCGCTCGGCCGCTGGTGGGCTCAATCTAAGAGTGAATTTCATTCATATTTAGACTCGACACCTGTTACACTAAGAACATTTTTCAATGAATGAATTTATTTAATTTCTTGACTCGTTTTAGCCCAAAGAGGCGATTGGCCAGAAGGGCTATTAGTCTCAAAACGGCATTTTGTGATGGTTCATTACAAACCGCGAATCACTTTTTAAGTTGTTGCTACCAAATATTATCTTCCTGTATTATAGTTAAAAATTAAATAATGAAAAATCTGCAAGTATGTATGTATGTTTCTCGCGTTGTGAAAAAACGACTGTACCTGCATCCATCAAATTTTGAATAGCGTAATCCTCCATCCAAACATGCGCACCTGGAAGCCCGAATATTGAATTTTGAATTTGTTTTGTTATATATTTCATATTTTGTAAAATTTTAACGAATTTTTGGTTAACAAACTCAACAATTTTAAAGCGAGCAATGGCAACACTGCACGGAAAAAAACATTTTTCTCTCCAACGATTTTCATACCATCTTCAGCGCGCAAGACTGTCTATCGGAAATTCTAAAGATGTTTTTAAATATTTTGTGATATTGCTGTTGAATTGAATTTTATGTGGTTTAAGTGCGAAGAACATGATATTTAATAAACATAGGTAACACAAAAAGCGATAAAAAATCCCTTTGGGCGTAATATAAAATCTGAACGTTTTCAGATTTTTTAAAATAATAACCTGACTATTTTTGGACGCTTGTAATTTCGCACTATTTTTAAGCATATTTACAAATTTCCTTTTTTAGCACGTGCTTTTAATATCGCTGATGTAATTATTAAACGCACTGAAAAAATATTTTGATGCTTATATGTTACGGTTTGCAGGTATACATAAATTAATATACAGTTTGAAATATGTTACATATCACAAATCTACGAGAAGCTTTATAATCATTTATCAAAGACCCGTCTTTTTAAATCTTTGACACGCAAAGTTCACTTCATTTCTTTGAAACAAATTTGAAGAGTATTTTAATATAATTATAAACGCATAATATTATTAATCAAAAGAATGGAAGTAAATTTTTGAAGTTTTTAAAATTTATTTTAATAGAAAATTAACTTTGATAACTTTGTGGCGTAGAATTCGGCCATCATGTTCATCCATTAGAAAACAAATATGAATAGAGAGAATACAGGAACCTCTGAGGAATCCATTAGATCGTCTTATTTCGCGATTCTGTTTTTAAAAGATTATTTTATACGCGTTCCCTTACAACGTTAATCAATTTCGTTCAGCATTGAAAGACAGACAAATGTGCAAACATTTATATATTTTATACTTTAAATTAATTAAATTTTTAAAAGAAACTTTACGCACGAATTTTTGCTGTTAAATAAAGTATTAAAATAATAAATCTTGCATACGTCTATTAGTGTTATTATTTTGATGCTTAATAACAAATATAGTATGTAAGTAAGGTACAATAATATATTCCAAAATTTAAATAAAATTAAGTTTAAGTTTAAAAAATTAACATCATTCGGTTTTTTCCGTAAACTATTTTTTAATGAATACTTTTAAATATTTTTTTTTTATTAATAATTAAATAAATATAAATTACCTAAATAAATATTTTTATTAAGTTAATTAAATAAATCACTACCAGTAAAACATAGAATACTTAACTGTTATTATTAAATTAATCATAATTCCATTTTAATTGTTCACCAGCACTCTCTAAATAAGTTAAAAAGGTATTGAAGTAATTTATAGCTCTTTAGGTCAAGTTACCCCGTCATGTACAACAATACCTTCTTTCTTCTACCCTTTTTTAATTTTTAAAATTTGATCACAATGTATCGTTTTCGATATTTAAGTTTTAAAATTTGCTGACTTATTATTTTACGCAATAGAGCATTATAGAAAATTTACATACGATAACGTAAGTCCAAATAAAATAAAATTAAAAGATAAAGAAATAGTCATATATTAATCACGCTAATAACCTTGGAAAGACGTGATCTTTTAAACAAGAATGTTAATGAAGAAGGGAATGTGGGTGAAGAGTAAGAAAATCAGAATTTACCTTCTATTTGCTGATCCTCATCTGAAGTCCTTTCGCCACTGTCCGTCACTTAAGCTGTCTGCTTCCCTGATCTTGTAACTTCTCATGTCTAAGCAGGGATGAGGACACGCATTTTTTGCGTTTATGTCTTACGCAGGCGTGGCTTTTGATGTAACAGCTGCACGTCGTGAGGTCGGCAAATGGAAATTCTGCCCTCTGCGCTTTGAGTGATGAGGCGGAAACTTAGATATAAATGACGGCTTTGCATGTTTGGCGTTGAACACGCACTAATAAAAGAGAGCACGTTTTTCAGTCGTTTCTAGGATCAGAAGCGTTAGAGTAAATTGTGTTGATATTCCACTTGTTAGGCCCCCTTCTAATGTTTACATGAATTGTGAGTTAATTTGTCAAACGAAATGGCCTTGTAACTAAATTGGGTATTCTCCTAAATAGTAAATGGCATGGTGACTTTTACCTGTCTTAAAATATTCGAAACATGCTTGTCTTATAAGCGAAGGCTTATATTTTCTTTAAACACCAAAGCTCATTTATAACTTATTATGTAGCATATGTAAGAAAACATAACCTGGCTCACATTTGGTTTTGAATACTTGTACTTTTGAAATCGATTTACATAGATTATGCACTAAATACTGAAACACTGACTCCAAATATTTTTTCTAATATGTTATTTTGCTCTTTTTTAAGCCTTGCTTGTTAAAATATCATTAAAATGTTTTGTAGTGAAATAGTTTATTTGAAATTTGTTATCAGTAACTCATATAATAATTCCGACTGTCGAAAGTTCTGCTGAGATGTTTTGGTACATGATATTTCTTATCATAATATTTGTTTTAAGTGAAAATAAATCACAAGAATTATCGTCTGCATTTGGAAACTGTTAGTTGCTTAGCAAAACATATTAATAATTTCATATTTGATGTGAACATGGCAAGATGTTAGATGTTAATTACATTAAAGATGGTTAAATGTTCAAAATATCCCAGACAAATAATACTTGAGGAAAATAGGTCAACTATTTTTGATGCTATATAACAATGGAAATTGCGTGGAGCTATTGAAAATGTTCTGAAGTCTTGACCATATTACAAGCTAACACGAAGGAATCGGAGATTATTGCATGAAAATTCGAACAGGGAGAGTAGAAAAACTATTTGCAAAAGAAGTTAACCCTGATATCGTTAAAAGAGTCATTAGGGCATACGAATACAGTGGAGATCAACAAGAAGGATATTCATTCTTCGTTAAAAAGTAAACAATTAGACTGAGTGTCGTAGAATTCATGGTAAATGCAGATGTGTGAAAAGTTAATAATTTCGGTTCGATGAACGAATTGCTGTGTGGCGAAAGACGAATGCCGAATTGAATCAGAAAAACTTACTTCCTACAGTTAAGCCGCAAGGTGGAGGCGTAATAATTTAAGGGCGTTTCTCAGCTTCTGAGATGAAAAAGTTAGTTTTTGTAGAACATAATAGGGATCTACTATGACTATTCTTAAATAAAACGTAAAAGCATCTGCTAGAAAACCTGAAATGTAAATTACATTGAACCTTAGTCATTATAAGGATCCTAAACATACAGCCCTATATGTTAGGTAGTGGTTATTACACACACTTCCAAAAGTTAAGCACGAAGATGTAAAATGCAAAAAAATCAACAAATACTGCTTTGATTGACACAAAATTCGACAGGAGGGTAGCATATATATCTATGCACAAAACAAAATCAATACAGAAATGAACACAATATTAAATTTTTGTAAGTTATCAGATAATGACATACTGGAGACTTAAACAGAATTATGTATGAAGTGAAAATAAACAGCATAAAATGAAAAAAAGAACATCAATAGGGTATGTGATCCCCCTCATCTGTATATAGTTTACACCTTGTGATCGTGCTTTCAATTAGGTGGTCAACCACCGCAAAATTAAACAATCGCCATTCTTCTTGGGGAGCAGTTTCCAGCTAAATAAAAGTGGCTGGAGGTGGGAAACGTGAAGATACAGCATGGCCGAGAGCATCCCAAAGGGGATTAAGGTCGGGAGAATATGCTGGCCACGCCATACGCGCAATCCCTTCACTCTCCAGGTAGTCATCGACGATGTCAGCTTTATGGGAACGTGCGCTATCGTCCATTAAAACAAAAGTAGGGCCAACTGCTTCAGTGTACAATCTCACAATGGATTCTAAGACTTCATCTCGATACCGGACAACCGTCAAAGAACTCCGTTTAAAGATGTGCAGATTGGTGCGGTATCCTAATGAAATCCCTGCCCACACCATAATGCTTCCGCCTCGAAATGCGTTATATTTGGTGATGTTTTGGGACTAATTGCGTGTTCGTTGTTCACGCCATATCCTTATACGCTTGTCATCTGGCTCCAGAGCAAATCTTGACTCATCATCACTCAGTAAACATGACATTGCCCCAGTCAGACACATTCCAATTGACATGTTCCCCGCACCACCACTGTAATCGTTCCCCTCTTGATTGGATGGATAGAGGAACACAAACTCGAGATACCCGGGCGTACAGTCCACTCATATGTAATCTTCGGCGTACATTAGTTGCAGAGATCGCCTTATCAATGGACGCTGTAACCATAGATGTCACACGTGTGGAGGTCGCTCTGCGATTCCACTTGGCTACAATAGCAATATATCGATCTTCCGCGGGGGTTGTGACCCTTGGGCGACCGGCTACGGGCCTTCGGACAACTGTCTGTGTGGTTTGGAATTGTTTCCATAAACGTGAAATTACAGAATGATGAACGCCGAAGAAAAGATAAACATCTGTGATTGACTGTCCTGCTTCAATGCGCTCCACAGCACGCCAGCGCTCAGAATCTTCCATTCGTCTTCTGGAAGTCATAGAAACACGTATGTCGTGAAACCAAATTGTACGAAAGTTTTAAACACCTTCTATCAGCACTTACAATCAACTTCTGTAACCCTTCATAAAGCTGGCTTCTTATAAGATTGCCTTTTTTGCATATTTCTTGACATGAAAGCGCGAATGGCAGTTACCTAACATTAATGCATACTTCCGTCTACCTCTGCAGCGAATTGAATCCTCTCCAATTCTGATTGGCTTCTGGAAATTAACATTTTCCTCTCCATGCTTAACTTTTGGAAGTGAGTGTATATAACTGCTAAGAAGTATCAAAGTTCTTTAACATTCTTCGGATTTAAATACTATCGAACAGGTATGAAGTGAGTTGGAAAAAAGAATAAGAGATCATGAGATTTCTTCCACAGTTGCACTTTTAGAGCAATTCTTACGAAGGAATGGAACAAAATGGAACATTCTTACACGAAAAAAACTCGTTGAATTCCATGAGTGATGAAAGGAGGAGAAGTCTGAAAAGTATAACAACACAAACTCGATTCAATGAAATGTCGAATTCCCTGCTATTTTATGTTTTTATTAAATACGTACTGTTTGTTCAATTTGTCTGAATACTTGAATCTTTTTCAGAAAGTTTTGAATAAATTATTATTATTACTATTATTTTAGTGAGAACGTTTTGAATAATTTCTTTTTAAAACAAGCAGGTTTTAAAAATGATGTCCATAAATATACGTAAAAGAAGAATGAAGTTATTTTGGTAATATTTAAAAATAAAAGTGAAACTACAAGTGTCTGAAGATAGATGTGAACCACTATATTTGCTTAGCTTTACCTCAAGGTATGATTCGTAGAACATTTAATTTATCTTTCAAACAGAATACTTTCAGCATGCGAGAGTTAAATTCATTAAACTCATTAAAATTCATTAAACATGCTAACATTAAACAGTGTTAAGCTAAAATTCATTAAACAGTGTTAAATTCATTAAATTCATTAAACATGCTTTCTTTTAATATCTTCAAACATTTTGGACCGTTTTACATATGAGACTTTCTTATATTTGAAAGAATAGGTAAACACAGCAGATCCTTTTTAAAATGAATATTACTCGCAAATTAGCAATTCAAAAGACAGAACAGATATCCTGCTTTAATAACCTAGAGAACATAGTATTTTCAAAATAAAAAATGCTTTGAAAACTATTGTACTCAAATTTATTTTGCGGATTATTTTGTTCGCTTAAAAATGTAAATTATATATTTTTTACTATACTTGCAAATAGATGCGAGCACTAAATTCTGTATGCATACACAAGTAGTGAAAACGAAACCCAATCTCTGTTTCAGTTTTACAAATCATGATGAAAGAAGTAGGAAAACGAAAACTGGAAGATGGATTTGAGTTAAAAATATATTATTTATACCTAAAATCCGAAAGAAGTGTTTTAATTATCCAATAAATGAGATATAAATAAAAGACTCATAAATCCAGCTGTCAAAAAGCATGGTATTCCTGTATAAATAATTTGTTTGAGAATGCAAGGCCGGATAAGAAAAAGAAACGAGAAGTGAAAGCAAATTCTGAAAATATAGCCGAACCAATTTCATCTCTATCCTCTTCAAAGTAGCTTCCATTGTACATTTATGCATTAGGTCCCAAAGTTTAAAACATGATTCACTTCTCCTTGGAAATATTTTAATTGTTATGTATCTAGCATCCTAATTGTTATGTATCTAGCACCCTAATTGTTATGTATCTAGCACCATTGGATACTTTCTAATGCATCAAGGCTACGAATTTAAATTTCAGTTACAATTAATCACCTAAGTTGAAAAACACATGTGGTGATGCTTTGTATAACGAACACAATCCTTTCCATCACACCATTAATTAGCGGGGCGCTACTTCTCATAGGTTATTATGGATGCAATTTTGATTCTTTTCTGACTTAGGAGTGATGTTATATAACCAAAAGCTGATATTCCTTCCACATAGGCAGTATTTAAAGAAGTATTTCAAACATTGAAGATTTTAAAAGTCCCGGGCTGCAGGATGTTTGTTATTGCTCGGCATTTTAGAGAGCAATTACTCGCTGTAGACTGGACTATGGCTTCGTTTTCTGTGGATAGACACCTTTCCTTTTACTGAAACTAGATCCTGTTCACTGTCAGGTCTTGCGGATTTGTTCCTGAACCTTCAGATTATCTCCACCTCAGAGCACATATGCTAATTATTACGAACCATCACTTCAATTCAGACTTGAAGAGCGGTTTCACCAGTGTTATTTTAACATATCAAAAAAAGAA